AAAAGGTGTACTTGTCAAGGAATAAACATAATGGAATGGCAGTAGAATCCCTTTATAATGCTGCTGTTACATGGACACTACCTGTTATGAGGACTGATTATGCAATACCATTTTACTATATAGAGTAATAGTTTCAGGAGCAATAGGTTTTTTATTTATTATTTTTTATTTTTTGAGACAGCGTCTCACTCTGTGGCCCAGGCTGGAGTGCAGTGGTGTGATCTCAGCTCACCGCAACCTCTGCCTCCTGGGTTCAGGCAATTCTCCTGCCTTAGCCTCCTGAGTAGCTGGGATTACAGGCATGCGCCACCACACCCGACTAATTTTTGTATTTTTAGTAGAGACAGGGTTTTGCCATGTTGGCCAGGGCAAACTCCTGACCTCAAGTGATCCACCTGCCTTGGCCTCCCAAAGTGCTGGGATGACAGGCATGAACCACAGTGCCCAGCCCCCTTCCACTTTTTAAGCAACAGTAACGAAACTTATTAAGTTTGGGCTTTCATGATTTGGAGGCTGGGAAGTCCAAGGTCAAGGTGCTGGCATATTCCTTTTTTGGCGAGGGCCCTTTCCTGGCTTTCAGAATATTCCCTTCTTACTGTATCCTCACATGTCAGGGAAAGGAAGCTTTGGTGTTTCTTTCTCTGCTTATAAGGGTGCTAATCCTAATTGGGGGTTCCACCCCCATGACCTTATCTAAACCTAATTACTTCCCAAAGATCCCACCTCCTAACACAATCACATTGCTGGTTGGACTTTGACATATATGTTTGGCAGAGGGCAGAAACATAGTCCATAACTGGTGTTTTCATAAAAAGCCCATATATCAGATAGTGTGGTACACAGTAAGTAAGTACCCATGGGCATTCAGACCAGAGAAACACTGTTGAGGTGAGACAGCTAGTGAGGTAGAAAAACAGACAATGTGTTATTCATTTTTGTTTCTGGCATAATCTTTTCAGGCTGCTATAACAAAATACCATACATGGATTAGCTTATACACAGCAAATTGATTGATCAAAGTTCTAGAGGCCAGGAAGTCCAAGATCAGGATACTAACAGGTTTGATGTATGGTGAGGACTTACCCTCTGCTTCATAGATGGCACTATCTTGCAGCCTTCTTACTTGACAGAAGGAGTAAACAAGTTCCTTTGGGCCTCTATTATATGGCACTAATTCCATTCATGAAGGCTCCATCCTCATGAAATAGTTGCCTCCCAAAAGGCCATAACTCTTAATACTATCATGTTGGGATTAGGTTTCAAAATAAATTTGGGGAAGGCATAAACATTTGGACCATAGTAGTATTTTTTTCTTTTTCTTTTTTTTTTGAGACAGAGTCTCACTCTGTAGCCCAGGCTGGAGTGCAGTGGCGAGATCTCAGCTCATTGCAACCTCCGCCTCCTGGGTCCTGGTTTAAGCAATTCTCCTGCCTCAGCCTCCCGAGTAGCTGGGATTACAGTCACATGCCATCATGCCCAGCTAATTTTTTTTTTTAGTAGAGACAGGGTTTCACCATGTTGGCCGGGCTGGTCTTGAACTCCTGATTTCGTGATCCATCCGCCTCGGCCTCCCAAAGTACTGGGATTACAGGCATGAGCCACCGCGCCCAGCCCATGGTAGTATTCTTAGTGCTGAGTACAATATCTGAAACGAAGTAGGCATTCAAGAAAGGTATGCTAAAATGGAAGAATGAAAAATCACAGAAATAGATATTTTGAGTTGGCAGGTATCCTAGAGATTAGGTAGTCCAAGTTGCCTAGACCAGTTCAACTCCACTAGGAACATTAAAATAACACAAAGCCATTTTACTCTCATTAAATTGCCAAAAAAATGTCTGATACTACCAGCTGTCATTTTCTGTTGAGACTGTAAATAGGTAAATTATGTTGGAGAGCAAATTGACATCATTAACTGAAGTTAAAGATAGCTATATCCTATGATTGTAACAAATCTCACTTAATATACAGACTCTAGAGAATTTCTCACCTATGTGATGGATTCTATTAGTTTTCTGGGGCTGCCAAAACAAACAAACATAAACTTTATTGCTTAAAAACATATACAGTGATTATCTCATAGTTCTGGAAGCCAAAAGTCTGAAATGAAGGTATGGGTAAGGCTCCCCTTCCTGCGATGGCTCTATGAAAGAATCCTTTCTTACCTCTTAATTTTGGGTGGATCCAGAGATTCCTTGGCTTCTGGCTGTATAACTCCAATCTTCCTACTTCATATCATCTTCTGCTTTTCCTAGTATAACTTTTCTCTGTGTGTCTTTTATAAGTTTACTTGTCATTGGATTTAGAACTCATTCAGATAAGCTAGGATTGTTCTCATTTTGAGATTCTTAATTATATTTGCAAAGATCCTTTTGCCAAGGAAGCTCATGTTCACAGGTTCCGTGAGTTTGAATATGGACATATTTTTTTGGTAGCCACCATTCAACCCACTATTTCAACAAATATTTAAAGCAGTGGTCTGTACCAAAACTAACTCTGACCTCCCTGTCGTTTGTTCTGGTCTTCTAGTTCCTTGTAGGTCACAGGTTATCTCATTGCTACTTCAGTAATCAAAAATTTGAGGGAAAAGTGATAGTAGCTTTATTTCATTAATTACATATTTCTTGAGACTAGTTTTATGGTCTGGCGTATAGTCTGTTTTGGCTAGTTTTCCAGGTTAATGTTCCAGTTATGCTTGAAAAAACAAGATATAGTCTATATTTGGTTAAAGCACTTCATAGACATCATTTAGGTCAAGTCAGTTAGTAGTGGTATTCAAGTCTCCTATTTTTTAAAAAATTATTTTTTGTCTGCTTATTCTACCAATTATTGAAGAGGCACGGTGAAATCCCCAATTGTTACTATGGATTCATCTACTTCTCTTTTAGTTCTATCAGTTTTGCTTCATGATTTGAAACACCGTTGTCATATACACATTGACGGTTTTGTCTTCTTTATTAAATGATCATTACATAATCACAGAATATATTTCTTTATCTTTGGCCATATTCATTATCCTGACTTCTATATTGTGTAATTTTTAGCTACTCTAGCTTTTTTATTATTACTATTTGTGTGATATATAATTTTTTATCCTTTTACATTTAAACTATTTTTATCTTTACATTAAAATGAATCAGATAGACAACTGATTATTTGGGTAATTTTTTAATGCTTTCTGAAAATGTCTGCCTTTTAATTGATATGGTTAATCCATTTACATTCAGTACAGTGGGCCCTTTATATCTGCAGTTTTCACATCTGGAGTCTCAACCAACAGAGAATTAGTAGATGTAGAACCTGTGGATATGGAGGGCTGACCGTAAGGGACGATGGTATTTATTAATATGGCTGTATGGCTATATTTATATCTACTTTCTTTTTTTTTTTTTTGAGATGGAATCTCACTCTGTCTCCTAGGCTGGAGTACAGTTGTGCAATCTTAGCTCACTGCAACCTCCAACTCCCGGGATCAAGCAATTCTCCTGCCTCAGCCTCCCGAGTAGCAAGGAATTACAGCCACATGCCACCACACCTGGCTAACTGTTGTATTTTTAGTAGAGATAGGGTTTCACCATGTTGGCCAGGCTGGTCTCAAACTCCTGACCTCGGGTGGTCTGCCCACCTGGGCTTCCTACAGTGCTGGGATTACAAGCGTGAGCCACCTTGCCAACCTCTTATTTGTTTTCTATCCTGTCTGTCCTTTGTTCCTTTAACTCTTTTTCCTGCCACCATTTGGATTGTGTATCGTTGTAACTCTTCCATTTGATCTCATGTATTGGCATATTAGATATGCCTCTTTGTTTAGTTTTCAGTGGTTACGATTGAATTTATAATATGCATCTTTAGCTTATGACAGTCTAGCTTTACATAATATATACATTTTTCTATAAGCACCTTGCAATAGCATACTTACATTTGTACCCCCATTTTTTATTCTCAGACATTTTACTTCTATATACGTTATAGGTCTGACCATACATTGTACTTTTTTCTTTATTATTTGGGGGAAAAATAGACTATAAACAGTGTCTTATATATTCTCACACTCTATTTCACACACATTTTTGGCACTCTTCATTCCTTTATGTAGATCTCAGTTTCTATCTGATATTAATTTTCTTTAGCCTGAAGAATTTTCTTTAAGTATTTATTATAGTGCAGGTTTCCTTGCATTGGATTTTGCACTGATTATTTTCAGATTGTATTTGTCTATAAATGTATTTATTTCACCTTCATTTTGGAAGGACATTTTCACAGGATGCAGAATTCTAAGACGACAGGTTTCCTTTTTTTGGGTTTGTTTTCTTTCAAAATGTTTAAAGATTTCATCTATTGTCTTGAGTTGCATTTTTCTTTTCATTTATGAAAGAAAAGAGGTTTAGGCCAGGTGCAGTGGCTCATGCCTGTAATCCCAGCACTTTGGGAGGCCGAGGCAGGTGGATCACCTAAGGTCAGGAGTTTGAGACCAGTTTGACCAATATGGTGAAACCCCATCTCTACTAAAAACACAAAAATTAGCTAGGCATGATAGTGCACACCTGTAATTCCAGCTACTTGGGAGGTTGAGGCAGGAGAATTGCTTGAACTTGGGAGGCAGAGGTTGCAGTGAGCAGAGATCACACCATTGCACTCCAGCCTAGGTGACAGAACGAGACTCTATCTCCAAAAATAAAATAAAAATAAAAATTTTAAAAAGAGATTTAATTGGCTCTGCGGGCTGTACAAGAATCATAGAGGCTTCTGCTTCTTGGTTGGGGGTTCAGAGGAAACTTGCATGGCAGAAGGCAAAGGGGAAACAGGCGCTTACTTCTTACATGGAAGAAGCCAGAGCAAGAGACAGAGGGGAAGGTGCCACGCACTTAAAAAAGAATCACAGCAGTTGTCTTTGTTTTTCCTCAGTTTTTAAGTTAAAAGTTAGCTGTGCAGGATGATCAGACTTGTTACATAGGTAAATGTGAAGTTGCATTGTTTTTTTGACCTCTGAACTTTTTATTGGCTTCCTGCTCCCCAAAGGGTCCCCTGCTTCTGCTGGCCTAATGTCTCAGAACTTTGGTATCGTTGGTCTCAGACACCACTTTGCCATCCACTGTCCAGTGGGTGGTGGTCTTTTAGATGGTTTGCTTGGAGTTGCTGCTGTCCAGGGCATCACTAAGACTGAAGTCCTCGGCATCTTCCAGCAGGCGGCGGTAGGTGGCCATCTGAGCCTCCAGCTTGACCTTGATGTTCAGCAGAGCCTCCTACACCTGGACCTAGTGCTGTCCCTCTGCCCGGGTCTGTGGCAGCTCTGAATCCAGGTGCAGAATGATCCCGTTGAGCTGCTCCATCTGCAGGGCGTATCGGGCCTCCATCTCCCTCAGGCTGTTCTCCAAGCTGATCTTCATATTTCTCATGGAGTCCAGGTCAATCTCCAAGGACTGGACTGTAACATCTCAGCTCTGTGAGCATCATTTCAGCAGCTTCAACCTCAGTGGGCTGTGTGGTGACCACTATGGTGCTCTCCTCAGTCAGCTGAGTCCAGTACTTATCCAGCTCCTCTCAATTCTTCGAAGCCAGCTCATCATATTGAGCCCGGATTTCTGCCATGATCTTGGTGATGTCCTGAGATTTGGGGGCATCTACGTCCACGGTCAACCCAGAGCTGGCAATATGGGCTTGTAGGCCTTTTACTTCCTCTTCATGGTTCTTCTTGAAGAGCAGCTCCTCCTTGAAAGCCGCGATCCCTGTCTCCAGCTGCAACCGAATGACATTGGTGTCATCGATGACCTTGCGGAGCCCGTGGATGTCGCTCTCCACAGACTGGCACATGGCCAGCTCTGTCTTGTACTTGACTCTAAAGTCATCAGTAGCAAGACGGGCATTGTCAATCTGCAGAACGATGTGGGCATTGTCCACAGCCTTTGTGAAGATCAGCCCTCAGGTCCTCGATGGTCTTGAAGTAATGGCCCCAGTCTCTGACCTAGGGTCCCTTTTTCTCCAGGTGCTCCCAGATGTTGCTTTCCACCTTCTGGTTCTCGGTCTCCAGGCTCCTCACTCTGTCCAGGTAGGAGGCCAGGTGGTCGTTCAGGCTTTGCATGGTCTCCTTCTCGTTCTGGATGCCTCCCATTCCTGCCATCCCCGCAGCCAGGCCCCCGACCCCGATGCCACTCCGGAAGCTGGCGGAGTATGACACGGAAATGTAGGAACCAGAGCCCCTGGCGCCTGCATAGAAGCTGACCGCGCTGCTGACCGGCCGGGCACCGTAGCTGGGTACCCGGACGGAGCCCATGGACCGGTAGTTGGTGGAGAAGGTGGAGCGAGTGGTGAAGCTCATGCTGCCTGGGGAGGAGAGCAAGAGGACAGGATATAAGAAGTAGGTATCATTCTGGTCAATATGGTGAAACCCCGTCTCTACTAAAAATACAAAAAATTAGCTGGGCATGGTGGCGCGTGCCTGTAATCCCAGCTACTCAGGAGGCTGAAGCAGGAGAATTGCCTGAACCCAGGAGGCGGAGGTTGCGGTGAGCCGAGATCGCGCCATTGCACTCCAGCCTGGGTAACGAGAGCAAAACTCTGTCTCAAAAAAAAAAAAAAAAAAAAAGAAGTAGGCAATCAGGATGTGGCACAGCAATGTTCTGAGGAGGCGGCGCACTAAGGAGGCGCGCTGAGGCTGCTCTTCCTGAGACGCCCCGCGGCAGCCTGACTCGCGGCCCTAAGAGAAAAAGGAGTTGGGATATAGAATGCCAATCCTTTCCAGGAGAAAGACCACTGCAGTTCAGAAGAGCAGTACTCAGGACACCGGGGGCAGCTGCCTCCCTCTCTGAAGCATGGCTCAGGTGTGGAAAAGGATTTCAGGACACTTCTGGGACTCTGTCATTAACAGCTGAAGAGAAGACGACTACAGAAAAGCACCTTGAATTATCCCCTAGATCCAAGCAAGAAACCACCAAATCTAAGAGCACCAGTGAGCTTAAGACATTACATGGAGTTCCAGTGGAAGTGATTTATCAGATGAAGATAAGACACTTTCTAAATTACGGAGAGATAATGGGCATGGCTCTAGAATAGACAGATTTTGTAACAGGAACATTTTGTGTCCAGAAGATGGGGCCAGTGAAGATGAATTACAGTTTATCGACTGGGAGATCAACAGTGACAAGGCAGATGCTAGTGACTATAATGAATTTGAAGATGGCAAGGGTGCTGTGGAAATGTCAGACTGTGCTTCTTGTGCAAGTAGTTGGTCTTTGGTAAGTGATGAGAAGCTATCTGAGCTTCCCAAGGCTGAAGTGGAGTGGCTCAGTATCTGCTCACTGCAACCTTTGCCTCCTGGGTTCAACCAATTCTGCCTCAGCTTCCTGAGTAGCTGGGATTACAACCAAGTTCTATAGAAATTTTAGAGTATTCATCAGATAGTGAAAAAAAGATGACTTGGAAAATGTCCTACTTATTGAATCAGAATCCCCTCACAAATACCACGTGGAGTTTGCATCAGATGCAAGACAGATTATGGAGAGACTGATAGACCGAAGGACAAAATCAGCAGAGATTATCTTGCATACACCCCAGAAACCCACAGCTACGTTTCCCAGGACTCCAGAAAATTCAATAAAGAAGAAGCTTTTAAGGGTAAATTATACCTTTTTAAATACTGACTTTTTTTCTTTCTTTAAAAACTGAAATATCTAAAATGTCAATTTTAAGATACTTGCATATGAAATCCTAAATTCTAGAGCTGATTAATGGAACATTCATCCAATTCGAGGGTCATGGGTTCAGTCATGGCCAGCAGATGTGACTTCATTTTTTTAATGCAGATTTATTGTTTGGCTTATCAATTTTTATTGAGAGTCAGCATTTTAGGTGCCTTGGAGACAAGGGAATAATTGTTCTAATCTTGAGTAACTTATAATCTAAAAAGGGAAATGGAAATATGTATAGATAGAGTCAGACTACTTTTATGAGAGAGATTTGCCAGAGCAACACTTGGAAGTACAAAAATGTATGAGAGAGCAAAGACCCACATACAAGATGCGTCTGGTGTGCCATCAACTAGAGTGTCATTCAGGGGCTGGGCCACGGCTATGGTGAGCAAAGCAGGAAAGATACCGGAAGGAGCCTGTAGGGACCTTCCCCAACCCTGTGTGATACAAGGTCTTTTCTTGTTTAAATCAAAAGCATTGGCAACAAAAGCCAAAATAGACAAATGGGATCTAATTAAACTCCAGAGCTTCTGCACAGCAAAAGAAACAATCATTAGAGTGAACTGGCAACCAACAGAATGGGAAAAAATTTTTGCAATCTACTCATTTGACAAAGGGCTAATATTCAGAATTAGAAAGAACTAAAACAGATTTACAAGAAAAAAAAACCCATTCAAAAGTGGGCTAAGGATATGAACAGGCACTTTTCAAAAGAAGACATTTATGTGGCCAACAAACATGAAAAAATGCTCATCATCACTGGTTATTAGAGAAATGCAAATCAAAACCACATTGAGATACCATCTAACACCAGTTAGAATGGTGATCATTAAAAAATGTTGGAGACAACAGATACTGGAGAGGATGTGGAGTAATAGGAATTCTTTTACACTGTTGGTGGGAGTGTAAATTAGTTCAACCATTATGGAAGACAGTGTGGTGATTCCTCAAGGACCTAGAAATAGAAATTCCGTTTGACCCAGCAATCCCATTACTGGGTATATATCCAAAGGATTATAAATCATTCTGTTATAAAGACACATGCACATGTATGTTCATTCTGGCACTGTTTACAATAGCAAAGACTTGGAACCAATGCAGATACCCATTGATGATAGACTGGACAGGAAAAATGTGGCACATATGCACCATGGAATACTATGCAGCCATAAAAAATGATGAGTTCCTGTACTATGTAGGGACATCCTTGAATCTGGAAACCATCATTCTCAGCAAACTGACACAAAAACAGAAAATTGAACAGCGAATGTTCTCACTCATAGGTGAGTGTTGAACAATGAGAACATGTGGACACAGGGAGGGGAGCATCACACACTGGGGTCTGTTGGGGTGGACTAGGGGAGGAACAGCGTGGGGTAGGGAGGTTGGGGAGGGATTACATGGGGAGAAATGCCAGGGATAGAGGGAGCAAATCACATTGCCATGTATGTACCTATGCAACAATCCTGCATGATCTACACATGTACTCCAGAACCTAAAGTACAGTAAAATGTGTGTGTGTGTGTGTGTGTGTGTATATATATATATATATATATATATTAAAAGAAGTTAGCAATCATTTTAAACTTTGTTCCCCTCTATGTAACATGTCTGTCTTTCTGACTGCTGTCAGTATTGTTTTCTTTATCACTAGGTTTTGGCAAAGTGATTATGATGTACTTTGTTTTTAATTTTTACAAATGTTTATAGTCAGCTCTCTGTATATGCGGTGTGTTGGTTTCAGGGCCCCCTGCAAATACCAAATTCTGCAGATAATCAAGTCTCTTATATAAAATGGCATGGTACAATTGGCCCTTTATATCTGCAGGTTTTGATCTGTAGTTGGTTGACCCTGTGGATGTGAAACCTGCAGATAGAGGGAGCCGACTGTACCTTGTTTGGGATTCTTTCAGTTCTTAAATTTATTGGTTAATAGTTTTCATCAAATCTGGAAAATTATGGGCCATTATTTCTTATTTGTTTTAATTTATCCCTTCACCATTTTGGAAATTTTTTTCTGTGGTAAATCTCTTTATATTGTCCATATGTCACTGAGGCTCTCAGAGTTTTTTCAGCCTTTTTTTCCTATCTGTACTTCAGATTGTTAGTTCTTTTTGCCATTATCTTAGTTTCACTCATCTTTTCTATTGAAGTGTCTAATCTGCGGCTAAGCCCATACAGTGAAAATTTCATTTCAGATATGGTATTTTTTTCAGCTCTGGAGTCTCAATTGATTCTTTTTTTGTAGTTTCATTTCTCTTATTATGTTCATGTTTTTCTTTATATCTTGTATATATACTGATATCTGTTCTAAAGTACTTGCCTGCTCTTCCCATCATCTCTGTCATGTCTAGATTTATTTCTACTAAGCAATCATTTTCTGCTTCTTCAATTATCTAGTAATTTTTTGACTGGATGCTAGATATTAGAATGCAACATTGCTGAATGTTGGAATTTGGTTGTCTTAAAGAGTATTAGGCTTTTTTTCTAGCAGGTAGTTAACTTCTATGCAAATCAACTTGATCATATTAAGACTTGTTTTTAAACTTTGCATAAATCTGGATCTGGTTTAGTCCTACTTGTAACATGTGTCCTTTTTCTGATTTCCAAATGCTCAATGAAGCCTCTCCCGTCTCACCGATCAGAACTCAGATGTCTCTCAGCCCTTTGTAATCTTCAATAGATATTTATCCTTCTTGGGTTGTTCTTCTGATAGTTGTTCTGTGCCCATTCTCATCGAGTCTCCTCTACATTTGTATAGATAGATTTCAGCCAGACTCAAGTTGACTGTACTGCAGATATCTGGAACTATTTTTTTCTGTGGGGATTCCTCTTCTCTGGTAATGTGTCCTATAAATCCAAGCTGCCACTGCCTTCCTGATCTCCCACCTCTCTTTTTTCAGCTCTATAAGCCTATAGCACTCTGCATTATTTGTCCTCTCCCTGCACTATAATGTGTCAAGTATTTCCACACACAAAGGCTAGGTGGCTATAGGGCTCACTTAATTTGTTTCCTTTCTCTCAGGGATCACAGCCCTTTGCAGCCTGTTGCCCAATGTCAAAAAACAGTTGTTTCATATATTTTGTCTGATTTTCTAGTTGTTTACAGATGGAGGTCTAGCCTGGTACCAGTTACTTCTTTATAGCCAGAAGCAGGAATCTCTAATGTAGCTTTTATAGATGGATGAGGTGTGTTTGGTTGCCTTTCTTTAGTTAATAGGCCCTTGAATTTGTATTCATTTTTTTCTTGGACACTGCATTTTAAAAGTAACCTTTCTTAATTCTAGAACAAAAATTACACATACATTATTACATATAAGAATATATATAAAATATATAAATTGCCATGAGTTAATCCTATAAGTTTAGTCAGTCATGTAGTATTCCTTGTGGTTTTTAAAAAATAATTCCTATATGTGTGAGGAACATTTACATGCTGAATTTGTAGGTAGTCTGTTTTAAGTAAAAGAAAACCATTACAGTTGTGACCTACTTTTTTTCCTTTTGATTTTATTCACTAATAGCCATGTGTTTTGATAGTATATAAAGCAACATTTTATTAGTTTCTCCAGTCTCTTGCTCTGCTCTTTTACAGAATGAAATTTTTCACTATTTATGTCATACTGGAGAATACAGAATGTGAAAATATAATTGTCCACTTC